AAGGGATTGCAGCATGACCATCCCCCGTGGGGGGTGATTTCTCACTTTCTGTCTGTCTTTTTGGCGAGTGCACATACCTTACATTAAAAACCTCTCCAAAATAAATAAATAAATAAATAAATAAAATATCTTTAAAATGAGAGCTAATAAATAAATAAATAATATATTTAGAAAGTGTATATATATATAGTAAATTACAAAATTATATTAAAAACTAATGACTTCAGCAACATTCCTATGTTTCAGGTGTCTGCTGATCGGATAGTATTTGGAGTACATTTGTTATGTATTTGTGATCAATTTTAGAATTTCGGCTGTAACTGCACTTTGGCACTAAAATCTTTTTTACCTAAATATGTAGTTGGAAATACTAGAGTGCATTAAATAGAAAAATGAATAGAATAAGTTATTCCATGATTTCCAAGTAGTGTCTTTATTCCATTGAGCCCCTTTCTCCAAAACTACCTCTCAAATCACTAGCCTTTTAAAATATTTCTTGAAACATTTTTAGTGTAATTTATTGTAACACTTACACACTCTGAGACATTTGAAAGGTGTGCAGAATATGCAATGGTTCAATGTTGTGCAGGACTGTTTTACCCCTGGAAGGATTGCTAGTGTCCCTGCCTCCCCTCCTATGTCCTATGTGCTCTGCAAACACGGTGACCCCAAGCCACAACATGTTCCAACATGTCTCCAAAACTTCCTCCAGGGAGGGTGATACTGTCCTGTTGAGAATCTCTTGATTCGACAGAAGTGACCTGGACATTCTAGCCAGGCTGAAACAGATAAGCCAAGCCTCAGTGTGCATCTGCCCAGGTTTCGAAAGTGAGTGTGTTTTAGTCATTGAAGCATGAAGACAAAGATTAGACTCATTGATTCAGAAAGTATTAGTGAGTACCTACTATGTGCCTGTAAAGTATCTCAGTGTTTTCCATTTCCTTGTTTAAGCACCCTTTTGTCAAGAGTGCTAAAGGAGTGTCAATCCTGCGAGACTTAATTAATGAAGCCATGGATGTGAAACTAAAACGCCAGGAAGCCCAGCAGCGGGAAGTGGACCAGGACGACGAAGAAAATTCAGTGAGTAGCAGGCATTGCTGTGGGCCTCAGGCTTTAATGCTCATTATTTCATGATTGCCAAGCCAGGTAAGACGAGTAGGCAGTGCTGGATCAACCTGGACCTGGAGACTCTTTTGCATGACTGTATTCTAGTCTGGATCAAGGCTTGCTGCATCTTTGCTGGTTCTGCTTCTGTTGCTTCCAAAACACTTTTTTCTTTAAGTGTGTTTATTTATTTATTCTGTGAGGGATGGAGACAGAGTAAGAGAGCAAGAGAAAGGGGCACCCCAACTGAGTTTTCATGGCACAGTCACGGGAGATCTTGGGATGCAAACCCAGGACCTTCCCACGTGGCCTCAGCAGGTGGAGTGTTACGTTACCACTGCTGGCCCCTGGAACGCTTTTCAATTTTACGTTTTTGCCCCTATATCTTTTATTCAATCTAACCTTTTAGTTTGAAAAGAGAAAGCTCAGGTCTGAGACTTGGTTTTTCTAAGCCCTTTGGGGAATCTCAGATCTGTACTTCCCATGTGGTTTGTACACTTATCGAGGCCCTCCTAGCCTTGAGGTTCTGAGACTGTGCACATGTGCTGCTTAAATCTGTGTTGCAAAACTCTTTAAAGGCGCAAGGGAGTGGATCCTTGAGGTTAGGTATGCTAATCTCGTGTGTACATGTCTGATTCTGGGTCAAAAAAGAAAAAGTGCTTTCAGTTCTGTAGGGTGAGTTTAGAACCCGAATGCCAAATTCAGAAATGTATGCATCCAGATGAGTAATGATAATTCAGAAAACCCAATTGTTGGGTCAAATTAGCCCCAATTTGAAGTTGTGTCCTTTCACAGGAAGAGGATGAAATGGATTCTGGCACGATGGTTCGAGCAGTGGGTGACGAGATGGGCACTGTCCGAGTAGCCAGCACCATGAGTGACGGAGCCAATACCATGATTGAGCACGACGGCACGCTGCCATCACAGCTGGGCACCATGGTGATCAATGCGGAGGACGAGGAAGAGGAAGGGACTATGAAAAGTAAGGCTCTGATGAAATGGACTCCTCGAGGCACGTACGTCTCAGGAAAGACGGGTTCTCATGGTCTGTGCAGGCCCCGTCTTCAGTCCCTTCTGGTGCAACCAAAGGCGTTTTTTGCCTTGGAAGGTTATGGTTGGGGGTAGGTTTGGGGCGGGAAAGAGCTGACATGTGAAGTTAATAGGCAAGAAAGCATCAGTAATGGAAAGGGATTTGCTTTTGAACCTGAACAGCCATTCTGTTATTGTCTTCTTTTTCTTCTTTACCTTGTTCTGGGGAGGCAGGCACATGTATCATTATTTAGTTATCATCCTTTCTCAAATTTTCCTGACTTTGTCCATTGAGAGCATTTTGCCTTTTTTTTTTTTTTTTTAATAAATTTGCCAGAAAGCGTGTGTGCTTGACACAGATGGAGGGAGGAGAAAGTACCCACTGATGGGGCCCATCACAGTCCCTTCCCCTCCATTTTTTATCCTCTTGGAATTTTGGGCATGCGCTCACACACGCTCAGCTTGTTTTTCAAGCCACTAGGGTCAGGACTTGAACCATGTAGTTAGCCATGTGGGATCTGGCTCCCTTAACGACCAGGCCATAGAGCTGGCCCTGATAACATTTTCAAGGTGGCTCCTATATTCTTTATTTTAATTTTTTAAAGTGTTTATTTCTTTCATGAGAGAAACAGAGTGATAGAAAGGCAAGCATCTCCAATAGGGCCCCATGCCACGACCCAGCCCTAGTCTTAGCCAGCCTAGATTATGAACATGGGTGTGTGTGCCTGCTGTGTGTATAGGGAGGCCTCAAGACATGAACCCAGGACCTCCTTCCCATGTGGGTCAATATTGCAGAGTGTCGTGTTATGAAGGCCACTGGAATATACTTTTGGCAATGCCTCCATTCTTTTGTTTGAGAATTATAAGTTGCTCTGGATTGTGAGTTTCCCCTGACACAGTTCTGGAATCACCCATATGTTCAAGGAGCACCGTTTCCTTTTATTAGAGATCTGTTTGGAAACCAGGGTCACTGTTTTTGGGCTCTCTTCGTAGGCAGAGCAAGGACATATACGTGTATGGAAGAGGGGAGGCCTCTAGCAACTCAACTCATTCCATCGTCTTCACTGTCTACAGAGAGGGTGTTTGTGCTCTCACTCTAAGGGAACAGGTTCAAGAGGTGGCTCCTTGCTCATGGTCACAGGGCTAGGGAGTGGTGGAGCTAAGAACTGAAAGTACTGCAGAGTACGTGTTTTCATCCCACTGAAATTCTGATTTGATTGGGTTGTCTATTATTACTTGCGCAGACATGCGAAAGTAGATCCGTGATATAAAACTCATCAAAATTAACGTCCAGTCTATGGCTGTCTTCTGATGCGATTCCAGGGATGTCTTTTGTTTTTATGAAATGATTGCTTATTGTATGTAAGCTGTTTACTCTACTTAATAGAGTAGAAGTTATATCTGTTAATAATTATTAATGATTAGGCAGGCACTGTGGCTAATCCTTTATAAGCATTTCACATTTTTTAATCATTACAACCTTGTCGTGTAGATAAAATTGCTGCCCATTTTACAGCAGTTGAAACTGAATTACAAAAGGATGAAGCAATTTGCTTATGATTGCATAATGCGTAATAGAGAGCCAGGGGTTTGAACCAGGTATGTTTGATTTCAGAGTTCATACTCTCAGCCATTATTACGCTGCTGCCAGCAGGACCCTTTAGCAAGTGGTTGGGGGCCATGACCAAAGCACTTTACAGGTCATGTATTAATAAGTCTCAGCCTGCAGTAATGCTTCTCCTACAGGTTGTTTCAATATTTAGCTCTCCATGTCCCCAGGATTTCCAGAAGGAAAGGGCAGGTGGTTTTCAAAGGGAGCATGCCTCTTGAGAGACATAGCATTGTTACATCTGAGAGAATGTCTTTGGGTGTGTGTGTGTTTCAATCTACCTGAAGGAGTCAGATTACAGTTGAAGGGAAAGGTTTAGATAGGGTGGGATTTGACTGTAAGAACAGTAGAGTTGGGACCAGCAGATGGCGTAATGGCTATGTCTTTGAACTTCTCTAGTTGACTGTGGTTCAAGTCTCAGGCCTGGAGGCTTAAAACTCACACTGGGTGCGTGTGCATGCATGCCCAAGATCCTGAGAGGAGAGGAGGAGAAGGGATTGTGGTGTGTTCATCTCCCCTAGGGGGTGATTTCTTGCTCTCTGCTTCTCTGGCGAGTGCATGCACCCTATAGCAAAAATCTGTCTAAAAAAAAAA